CTATATATATATATATATATATGCAAAATATAACCACGTAAGTAACGTGGTAGAGAAGAAGATCTTAATATGCAGGACTGCCAAGTACATAGATTTTGAAAAATATAGAATGGTTGTCAATCTCAAAATTCCCCGGTTATTTCGCTTACATTTTGAAATCTTAGCTCAAAAGATATGAAACAAATCTTTTTATATGATTTGAATCATTCACAATCATTCCTGAATACGCATTGGTTACCTAAAAAGAAAACTTTAATTATAATTTCTTATGTTGACTATAACTTATTTTTTTAAACATGTGTTTTTACTCTAAATATTTTAAATAAGTGAATGATATACTTTGTTTTGTAAATGATATAAATGAATTGAAATTTATCTAGCAAATAGCTAGTCTTATTCAAATACTTCTACATAAAATTAGAATTTGAATAATGTGAAATTTTCAGAGAAGTTTGTCACATCTTCCCTAAATAATTAAAGATCGTAGTAATTGAGAATATGAAATTAAGTATAAATCATCATTATATTTGCAATCTTAATACGTTTTTTTATAAGTTAGTTTTTATAAATGTTATGAAAAATTAGGGAGCTAGCTTCTCTGTTCGATGCCACTCATCAACCTCGATAATTGCTTCGCTATGACTGCTGTTTCTAAGCATAATTTTGATAAGAAAGTTGAAATTATTGACTTGAAATATCAGTTTTTCATCTCAATAACAAATAAGTATAACTAAAAAGAATTATATTTGCTTACGCTTGTGGCCTTCCTTCACACATCATTCTCTTTTCCTTGATAAATACCCCTGAAATATCACTAATTCACTAAATTCTTCAATTTTAGGAAAATATATTCAAATATAATTGTTAGTTCGTAAACCAAAGTGAAAATTTATCTAGTTCCTAACTTTAAAAAAATAAAAATTGGTATACTGGAAATTCTCGATAAGGAAGCAAAAACCATAACTAGGAGTCAGGTCAGTGAGATAATTACTAGTCCACGTTTTGACCTCAGTAATGAAATCTCATCATTTTAATTTAAATTGAACCCTAAATTATTTATGTGTATCAAGAAGTCTATATTTATAATTAATTTACTTTCGATTTTTATCTAAGAGGATAATTACAATTAATCTTTATGTCAGTAGTTAATGAGTTGTAAGTCTTGATTTCATAACGGAAGCAGTGTGATTAATAGTAGCTAAGTTCTTTGAGTTGATTTTTTTCCAAGATATTTTTTCAGGAGAAAAGTAATAATGAAAATGAGGCCATTTAGGGATGACCTAAATTAGGAATTTTTGTTGTGTGTTGGTTACTTTTATTATTTCAATGTACCCAAGATTTAAAAAAAAAATTGAATTCAACGAATTTTTACAAAAGGTTTGGGCCCAAAATAAAAAGAGGTAAACCTAATCAAACTTTGATTCAATGGTTAGGTTTTAGGAATTAAGATCTAATCATAATTTTTAAAAATGTCAACATTAAGTTTATGAACTACGAAATGAAATACGAAGATTTATTTTCTCTGAATAAATGAATATACGATAGAGTCCTGATTATCCGGCACACCCGAGACTAGAGGTTGGTCGGATAATCAGTTGACCGTTTCAGGCGTTTAAATTTCAAACAATGTTTAAAACTTCTTAAAATCTGTAGTAAATGTAAAAAATTAAAAAAAACTCTAATTTGTGTTTTATTTTTCTATCATGCATCTAATTTGCATTTAATTTTTTTATCATGCTGCTTTATCTCGATTAAGCAAATCATTTTGTATTCCCCCGAAAATGTTTTTAATAAAACCTCTTATGCTTATTGGGAATTGTGTGAACATTCTTTTTATTAAAATTTAAAGTGAAAGCTAATATTCACTTAGTTTACATGCTAATATATTCCCACTTTCACAATTTAGAGGATTTTTTTATATGATTTTAACTTTGTGATAAATTTATGTGCTTATCTGTGAAATCTTATTATATAAAACGCTAATACGTACGTATGTATGTATGTATCAATAAAACCGATGATATTTCTTTTCTCGAGGTGGCAACAGTTTTCATTTTTAATTGATTGGATTCGGCGCGCAAGAGCACGTAGTGAGCAACNAAATGAAATACGAAGATTTATTTTCTCTGAATAAATGAATATACGATAGAGTCCTGATTATCCGGCTCACCCGAGACTAGAGGTTGGTCGGATAATCAGTTGACCGTTTCAGGCGTTTAAATTTCAAACAATGTTTAAAACTTCTTAAAATCTGTAGTAAATGTAAAAAATTAAAAAAAACTCTAATTTGGGTTTTATTTTTCTATCATGCATCTAATTTGTATTTAATTTTTTTATCATGCTGCT